ATTCGAAAAGTCTGTTATTCGTTATTAATAAGCCACAGCATTAAGTGAGATCATCTAACTTTTTAGTAGGTGAATATTTGCAGCAAATAATCTGAGATTTCTATATATATTTTCAAATTGATTCCAAATATTGTCTGCATGGCCATCGATAGTTGTGTCTCGTGTTTCACCACGGTACGAATAAAACTTCAAAGAATTTTGTATAACACACCTGCAATGTGTTCATACAAATTTTTACAGTAAATGTTCCAATATTTTTATGAGCCACCGTAGACCTTGCTTTCCTTAATAGCAAATAAATTAATTAAGAAAAGATTGGATGGTGTATGAAATTTTAACGATGATCGATTTAGAACGATTATAATAAATTTATTGATTATTGGATTTTATTTGATAATGTATATTACTTTGTCTCGAAATTAAGCGAATTAGTAAAAGAGAAATTTGATTGATTTCATATTCTATCGGTATAATGGTCATAACACATAGCACATTACGAGTATACATAAAATAAATAAAATAATCATAAATGTTCATATACTTTCGTGAGCTACTGTACGCGAGTTTGAATACTTCGAGACACATGGGTATTTCAAAAAATAAAAAAAGCGAACTCGCAAAAGGTGAGTCGCGAAAGATTGCTCATGTTTTTGCGTTGGAGAATGCGAAACGAACGACTTCCTTGTCGATAGCTGTGGGCAAAAAAGGAATTTCTGAGGTGAAGGCTGTGAAGATTGAAAATTGAAGATTCAAAGTACTTATTTGTGATGTATGCGTATGCACTATGTACACGCTCATTAAGGACATATTCTGTTCTTAATAAAGTTTCAATATAGTTTAATATGGATTATACGAACTTTAAATTACATACCTCAATTACGCTTTATTAATTTATTTATCATATAAAGTATCAGGGTAAACATTTCTTTATATGTTTTAACGATTACTTAACTATTTCCGATTTTGAAGCAAATGTAATAACTGTATTAAAATTTTTAAGTGGAAGTGACATGTATATTTAAGCCTTTCACTGAGTAATAAAATAACGAAGAATTTAGGATGAATTTAGGAACAAAATTTTAGGAACGATTTAGAAGAATTTAGATCTACGACGTTGAGTTTTCTTCTATTTATATCAGATGCGAAAAACATGTGCTTTCAACGTTTTATTCGAGATACATAGATATTAATTTGCATTACATATGGTGACATGTATAATATGAAATTGTTAATACTATAATATATGATAAGAAAAGAAAGATGTTAAAAAAATAAAATCATGGAATATAGCTTATAAAAGGTCACATTTTGATATTGACAAATACAAAGGCAATTACTTCATCGATAGCAAGAGCGAATTGTTTGGAAAAAAGTGAATTCGTTTCGAACAAAAGTTTACATTTGTTAAAGAGAAGTTTGTTGAAAATTTGTTTTCATTTGTTTCATATTGAAGACTGTGATTAATAGAATTATATACCTATTTATATAAACATTATATAGACTAATAGACCTGAAGTTCACTATCTAATCTTGAACCATCTGCTCTAAAATATTTTTACATATACAGAGTGGTTGATAACTGGTAGTACAAGCGGAAAGGGGGTGATTCTACGCGAAGAAAGAAGTCGAAAATATAGAATAAAAATTTTTCGTTCGAGGCTTCGTTTTCGAGAAAATCGACTTTGAATTTTGGCTCGGTACGCGTGCACTTTATCGCGTCTCGTTATAACGGATCTCACTGTAGATCGCTGTCTCGATAGAAAAATTAAAAAAAGAGAAATTTTTATTCTACATTTTCTACTTCCTTTTTCGCTTGTACCACCAGTTACCAACCACCCTGTATAAAATGTGAAATTTTTCTTTTTGATCGAGAACGTATAATCAGAGAATTATAATCGAATTAATACTCGACCTAATAGATACAACGCATGCAACGTGTATGGAGTGTATGGTGTTTTTCTTCACTCTTCTAAAAAAGTGGTATATTTTGAACAGAGATCGCTTTAGTGACGTATATGTAATACCGTTTGACTCGTATAGATCATGCGCGGAAAAGTACGAAAGATTTGAGCTATAAATATTTTTAAATTTTGACTGAAACTTTTTTGGATTAGATTTAAGTTTATTTTTTGTTACGATACTGGCGAACGTAAGAACACTTTCTCGTAGAAACAAGGAAATATTGAGTAACATTAATTGAAAGATCTGAGAGAAAGATCTTCTAGGTATATAGGTATGTATAAAATCAATTATCTTTTCACCGACTTTCCCTTTTTTAATTTTTTAAGTAGATTCAGATTTGTATGCAATTTACCATTATCACGTATAAGTATCAATCACCTATTAATCTATCTATCACAACTCACTAATCAATTCACTTACGAAACCTCCACACTAATAATAATTTTCTAATTATAAAACCTGTTTATTCCGCGTTTTTATAACGTTATGTCTTCTTTTTAATTATCTTTTAAATCCCATTTTTAATTTCTTGCGTTTGTTTGAAATCTTTTTCTAATATATGAAGCACTTTGATAACAATCATATTTTTTTAATTTCCTGTTTTGTTTGATTGTTCAATTTATTTGATTTCTTGCAGGCAAAGTTACACTTTTGCATTAGAAATCACTTCCTGTTATATCTGCTACAGACTGTTTACAACAGAAAGTTACAAAAATAAATTAAAAGGCTAAAATTGAAGTTTTCAATTATAGTTCTGCTTATCCAAAGCTTATTATCTGCGTATATAATGCTTCTAGAAATTCTACAAGTTATTAGCTCTGAAAAACGTAATAGGAAATTTTATTAACGATATTTTATTTTATCTATTAATTCCTAATTATCTATTTATCATACACTTTTATCAGTTTCACACATTCAGCACTCGTTTATTTTAATAAATGTATGAGAGATCGTCCCTGAAAAAATGTTTGATACATATTTTTTGTATCAATAACATGCAGAACATGTTAAAAACCAGAAGGTAGAAGAATAAATTTGCTTTAAATCTCATATTGTAGAATGAGGATCCAAAAATTTTAAAAACAAAATTCTACAAGCGATCATTTATATAAGTAATATATCACAAATTTGAATTATTCTGATAGCTTTCCTAGATGTTAATCCATCCTCGCGTAAATTTGCATATACGTAAATGTGTATTTTTCGAATGTGACATGTTGTAGATTTTTTATCTATTTTTTTATGAAGAATCGTCTACTGCTCGCCTGTAAAATACTTTAGTCGCAACCTGTATGCAAATAAATCAGGAACAAAATAAAAATACAAGTGAAATATTTAGCAAATAATAGAAATATAAATTTATATTTATAAAGTCGGAGAAAGATTTCAGAACAAATTTTTTTATCTTTATTACATTACATTCTATCTGATCTAAAGGCTCTAAAGGCCCTAATTTCAACGCAATTTAATACACTGTACGAATTAATTTAAATTATTATTAATATTAAGAATATTGTATACAAGTATAAATATATAAAAATAAGTATATTATTTCATAAGTACACAATTATACTGACGCATAAATAAATGAGCATATGAACATGTAAATAAATATATATTAAACAAATTCAAACAAGCGGAAACTATCGCTGCAGCGATGCATCGTTAGAAACGCGATTTCTAATATCGCGGAATGACTCGAGAAGTTTCTCCGGCTGGATACTTTTTTATGTAAACAAGAAATTGTCGCCATTTCGAAGACGATTACAAGGGACAAAACGTGGAAAGCATGTAATTGGAGTTGGTGGCTATGAACTCGGCGGCGACTTGACCATCTGGTCACACCTGAAATGTTTTCCAGGTCGGAAGATGTAGTCCTTACTGAGCACCGGATTATTGCAGATGATTTTATCCGTTCAAATGCAATTGCCGCGACAGGATAGCAATTTGAGACGCCAGTGAAAGCCTAGATCGATGCGAACTGCATTCTACTAGATTGTTTCTGAAGTATCCTCTTCAGTAATATAATACAACATATTTTATTATCTTAATACCAGGGTATTCGTCTTCCGTGTTTGATCGATGGAAGCTTGTGAGTAGAATCGAGTTTATCGATAGAAATAAAAGGGTTATTTTCTGTCTATTCGTTCTAGTCGATTCTAGTCTTTTATTTATCGTATTCTGCATTACTACAATGTAGATATTTCAGTTACGAAATAATTTCAAAACTTGAAATTTCAAGCGATCACTTTCTTCCACATTTAGATAAAGGCAAATTTATCTCGCCAGTGGAAATAATTGTTCTTTGTATTATGGAAGTTTTAATTTGAGGACATTAGATTCTAATGATTTTGCCAATTTATGATTTTGAGTCACTGCAATAAAAGACTGTGTTTTAATGGAATATTAATATAGGAATATTTATAACAAAAGAAAATCGGGGGTTTTATTTAAATCGAATTAAAATACCGATAGGATACTAATATATTAATATATAGCAATCGTCATATTTTTGCTTCTCAAATCACTTTCTCTATCGTTAGCAATTACGATATTTGTATTTAATTACGATTACCACACTCGCAGAAACTAAATTTAGGTACTTTTAATAAGCAATAATCGAACGTACAAATAAATTAATAATTTAACATTATTATTCGAGTGACTGAAAAGAATACATGAATTTCCATAATAATGTCAAAAAATTATTTAAATAACAATAAAAGTAGTACGTAAAATAAATCTAAAAGTACGCAAAGCGCATTAATAAAAAGGTTCCCCTAATTTACATTTTCGAAGAAACTGATATTTCAATGAAAAACTCGATCTTTTATATATGTATTTCATTTTATACATGTATGTATGTATTAAATCAAATATCAATAACTCACTGAAGATATTGTTATACACAAATAACAGTGTTGTATTCGCTTCCACCTTCGATTGCTTTTAAGTTGTCGAGAAATACAATTTCTGAATCACTTTCTATCACTCGTAACATATTAAGTTCAAATTTTTCACACGTTCTCTGATTGCAGGTGATGGTATACCCGGAACAATTGTTGTTCGTGTCGGAAACAATCGGCCGGACTTGGGAACGAATCCAATTTGCAATCGTTTCACCGGTCCCCTCGAAGAAGGGCAACCTCTTTTTTTGCCCTGTAATCCGCCTATGCCTGGAGCTTTCGTTTCCGTACACTTGGAAGCAACTACACCGGCACCAGTTCCAGTGCAACTTTCATTGTGTGAGGCCTTCGTGTACACTGATCAGGTACGATCAATTTGCTGTACCTGTTCCAAACGAATAAAATTATCTAAATCTAAATATAAATAGCTTTGTTGTAAGTCACATAATCTATACAATGTATACAATATGCAAAAGATATATAAAAATTACGTATAATGAATATTATAATATTTAGTAGGTGTAATAAATCTCCACGTAAGTTCAATTTTTTAAATTGTGTTCATAAAAGTATAAACTTTCGTGAAGTATAAACTTTCTTAGTTGCCTTTAAATAAATAAATTTTGAATTCATGAATGTGAATTATGTTTACTACAGAAAGGACTAGTTAATATGATCTTCAATTGTTAAAAAAGGGATGGTATGATAATCAGGTTTCAAAGAATATCACATTTCAAAAGACACTTTATACAGGGTGGTTGGTAACTGGTGGTACAAGCGGAAGGGGGTGATTCTACACGAAAAAAGAAGTCGAAAATATAGAATAAAAATTTTTCGTTTGAGACTTTGTTTCCGAGAAAATCGACTTTGAATTTTAGCTCGGTACGCGTGCGGTAGATCGTTGTCTCGATAGAAAAATTAAAAAAAATTTTTTCTATTCTAATTATTCTATAAATTATTCTATAAAAAAATTATTCTACATCTATTTTTTGAATATTTGTTATATTCTACATCTGTCTATCCTTTTATAACCTTTTTGATATTAAACTCTACATTGATTAAGCGCAGACACGTTTATATCGCAATTTATATCGCAAATTAAAAAAGAAAGTAAAAGGGTCCAAAATGTAATATATATATAAAAAAAAGAAGAAATTAAAAAAAAATTTTTTATTCTATATTGTCGACTTCTTTTTTCGCGTAGAATCACTCCCTTTTTCGCTTGTACCACCAGTTTTCAACCACCCTGTATAAAGTGTCTTTTGAAATGTGATATTCTTTAAAACCACCCTGTATATACCTTATTTATCATTTCTTATACATATTTTGACAATGTAACTCATTTTGCAGATATAATCAGTATTTTAACACTTTCTACTAATTACAACGAATCAGAGTTATTAGAAAAAATTGAGTTTTAAGATTTTTATATTGACTTTTATACCGATTATTCTTTTCTTACGTGTATATTCTTCTTTATATAGGGTTTTTCTTTTTTATAGTTTAATGAAACGCGATTACTTTTTTGTATAGGCTCTTCCCATTGAGAGATGTCCACAATTTAGAGATCAGCCACCAGGTTCGACAGCAACCTACAATGGAAAATGTTACATATTCTACAATCGCCAACCGATGATATTCCGAGAAGCATTGGCATTCTGTCGTGCACGAGGTGGTACTTTAGTGGATGAAAGCAATCCTGCGTTGCAAGGGTTTATTTCGTGGGAACTATGGAGGAGGCACAGGTATCGAATTCATTAATTGTCCACCTCTACGCTTCGCTATCTGCTTTCAACTTTTTCCTGTAAGATATAACTAGCTCAATTTGATCATAATCAGATAAGACAATTTATTATATCTAATACTAATGGCAACTTTCATCAGAATGTTATTTTCATATTTAATATTTAATAGTAGTTACTATGCAGTAGTAATAAAATTTCAAAATAAACACTTTAGCTTCAAAACAAGTCAATTTTACTGTGCTATTTGTAGCCTGTAATTTTAAATTACTTCTTCTATTACTGCCATGAAATAAACTAAACCTAACTTCTTACGTAAATTGCTTACAGTGGTGAGCATAAAAATAGCATAATTCGTACTCATAAATACAAGTAATATTAGAGTGAAGACTTTCGTTTCTATACTTCCTTTTTAATATAGAATTCAAAAATACATCTCTTGTACCTTAAGGCATAATAAAAATAGAACGTCTTTCAAATTTCTATTTCGAGTGACAATTACAAAATAAATTAAATTGAGTATAAAGCTTCTCTCCATTTACGTGTTTGTCAGTGTATATTTCAATTAGCATAAAATATACAATTACCATAAAGATAGTTTTCAACAAACATTTCTAAAAAGATATACCTTATCTTTATTCAGGAGTGATACTTCGAGTCAATACTGGATGGGTGCAGTAAGAGATCAAAAGGATCGTACGGTTTGGAGGTGGACAGGAAGCGGCGACGAGGTTTCTGTTTCTTTCTGGAGTCTACCTCAAGGCAGCGAAGAAGACTGTGCTCGATATGATGGTAGTAGAGGATGGCTTTGGTCCGATACCCCTTGCACAGCTCGATTAAATTTCATCTGTCAACACCGTGAGTACCAAGTATTTTCTCATTACTATCGAATTACGCAATGGTTGTATAAATGTCATCTTCATTACTATAGAAATATATATACTTAATTCTTTATAGGTATCCTAATACGTACATATTGCACAAAACAATCAGAGGACCTTCTCTCATATTACATTGTCTTTTATATTCACTTCTTGTGTTTCTACATTGTTTTTTAATTACCATTCAAGATCAATTTTTAGAATACGTCATGGTATCATACGAATAGCATGTTGATATATTAAGTTTATAAAACTTCTCCGCTTTTATTTACTTGATTGGTGCAATAGTATAGTAGATCCATTAATATTTCTTTAGCAGTGCTTAAAGAATAAAATGATATCAAATAAAAGGTGAAAAATATTATGTGAGCCTCTCAAAAGCTAAACTTGGCTTATTGTTCATTTCGCAATTTCATTACACAAGTACACGATTAACGTTCAACTCTCAAGACACGAATGATCTCCTCCCATCAGTTCATTTATCGCAAAAAGATGACACTGATGATAGTAAATTCTGTGGCGGATTTAAAAAATAACGTTTATATCATCATCGACTTTTTGTATCTTAGAACTTATGGAATTGATCAGTATGGTTGTCGAAAGGCTTATGTATAAAAAATGAAGATCTTATTTGTCCATTCTGAAAATGATAGTAGAGAAAAGTAACCAAATGTATGGAATATCATCTTGTTTTTTAAATGTTACTCATATAAAATCAGTCGCAAGAAATAAAAGATTTTTATGGGTATTCAATCATATATTCACACTCAATTTAAGAGCAGTCTCATATTCCTAACGTTACGAGCAATCTTCGATATTGAACTAACATTAAAAAACGCATAAATTATATCTAATAAGAAATAGGTACTCAACTACTGGAAGCCTAACATCAGGTACAATATTTTCATGGAAAACGAACAAAGAGTATTCTCTTCATTAATTATTCTCCTTATTAATTAAGACACTTTGCTTATAAAATTTTTGAAAACTCTGGACCAATACTTTCGTCATGTGCTATTTTTCTCCACCAGAGTATCGCGAGAAAAGTCATTGGAAAAATAAACGGTGCCAAGGTGAGGCAGTGAGAGAGCCTACTGACGTTTGACGGATAACTCATCTGTCAGATTTGATTCATATAATTTATTTATCAGATTTTTATAAATGTCTCTATTCTATATTAGGCAAATACTATTCCATACTCGGTCACTTTCTTCTAACAAACACTGCGAGACAACATGTAAAAGCAAGGAATTCTTTGTTTGTTCTTAGAACCACGAGCGTGTGGTCGACCAGAACAGCCTCCGAATTCAACGATGACGGTGACCACAACGACAGATCGGAATTCCGGAAGCGCATATGAAGTTGGCGCGACGGTGGATTACACTTGTAACGCCGGCAGCCTTCTTATAGGACCGTCGACTCGTACATGCCTCGATACTGGCTTCTACAACGAGTTTCCACCGGTGTGCAAAAGTAAGAGAGCAAGAATTAGATACAGAGGCCAGAGTAAACCATATACGATCGTCCTATCGATGTTAAATTCAACATTCTGCTCGTTTCAGGCATCGAGTGCGGTTATCCAGCGAACATAAAACACGGAGGTTACACACTTATCAACAATACCGTTAGTTATCTCAGTCAGGTGCTTTATTCCTGCGATGAAGGATACGAGATGACTGGTAAGAATTTATCCTGGCGTTAGCCATTATTTCTCTTTGATAAATGGCTATCGTTTGTGGCTAATACTTTGATACCTGTGTTGAAACGTCTCGCCAACGAGAATTTTCAAGGAAATTGGTAAGAATATTAGTTGGTGTTGGATCGCGATGACATCATCTTTCTGATTGTGTCTTGATCCTCTTGTTGCGGCTTGATTTTGTTCCTGATTCTAGAACCGTTCAAATTGGTTTATCATGCGTGGCTGAATTTTTAGAGATCTATGGTAGAGATTGAAATTAATCTGATTGAGGATAAGCTTTGAACGTGTGCGTGATTTTAACATGAGAATTTTTATGTTGCACAACTGATCAATTTGTGTGTCAGTTGCACTACGTAGTGTTTATTCATGAAAATGAATAAATAGTGTAATAATGTAATGCAATGAACCTTTTCATGTTTTCTCTCCGTGTTGCGAATAATCTACACAAGCGTTTCGTGCGTCCGTAAGCAATAAAAGTAAAAAGAAGTTCATGGAGTATATTCAGTTTAAGCGGATATAAATATAAATATGTGCACATGTACATTTTCCGAGATACTCATCGATACATTATAATAATATATTATAATCAGATTTTTATATTTTCTCTGAGATTTCTAATTTGAAATTGAAACAAAATATTTTCGATTTTTATGAGACATTAAACGCTACAAGATTTATTAATAAAACTCCGATATATAGTACTAAAGCCAAAATATTTCATAAAATGTTATAAAACGGTTTTATAAAAAATAATATAGAAGAATATGTATAACTTATGTAAATAGACTTTACATTTTTAGTTTAACACTACATAGACATTGTTTATAGCTTATTAATAAATTACAATGAATTAATAATTTGTTCCGATTACAGGTCGTGCAAGACTGACATGCGATATCGATGAGCGCTGGAATGGACCGCCACCACGTTGCGAGCCAATTTTGTGCGATCCTCCTGCTCCTGTTCCACATAGTTACATTCAAATCGATGAAATCGACGAAACCGAGACAGTACCATCGAAAACGAACTTCAGTCGAAGTCTTCTCGTAGGCAGTATCGTTACTTACACCTGCGAGAAGGGTTACAGACTTTCTGGCTTCCGACAAATATTATGCTTGCCCACAGGCTTATATGATCATGTCGCACCCACTTGTACGGGTATGTGATTTAATTATTTTTATGCAATAAATACAAATTTGATTATTTCTTTAGAAAAGCAAGTCATTTATCGTGCCATTGTTTGCAATCTTCAAATACGAGGATAATTTAACATACATACATGTACATGCATACATATTTACATAATTAAATATTGAATCTTTATTAACGTAAATGATATAATATGAGGATATTCAAAGGTTGTTTTTTAATCCAATTTATGAGATATTTATTTTATACTTGGAACTTAAATTCATTTGTGCATATACCTCTTATGCGCATAGCAACTCAAAGAATTAATAAATAATTGATAATTGTTTTAATATATACTTATATACATTTCAAAATGTATTTTGATTTACAACAGTATTGTTTCCAACCAAACTCTACCTAACCATTGTGTGTGTACTTGACTGTTATATATATGTGTGTATATAAAAATGGTATAATACATATATGTATGTAGATGCATATATAAATGCTTATGTATATTATCAAAATATTGTTTCAAACTAAATTACATATAATTCGTATGAAATCTGTATTATAATATATCTGCAATAACTGCAGTTGCAACAATTTCAATAATTAATTTCAGTAATTTCAATAGCGATATGTGTAGATTATCATTTACATTTAATTTTTTGTTGAGATCGCAAACAATAATCTTCTGTCGTATTAACCTCTTAAGGACCGACTTTACAAAATTTAATCAAAAATGTACTCAATTTTTTCATTATCAATTTAAAGCTATGTTAATACGTTCGCTAATATATCATAATTAGAATTACAAAAAGGCTCTTTTAATTCAAACCAATACAGCAGGTCCAAGATAACTTAGGATAAAAGAAATTTTATTCTAAAGAAAAGAAAGAATACAGATTCCCAAGGGATTATGATAATACATAATAATAATAACCGTTAGATTTTCTTTAACAGAACCTATGTGAAAGATTAGAATTACAAGAGAACCAATGTCTCCAAAATTTCTTTATTACAGAAGAACCACGTACCACCGTGACTGTGTCTTCCCGAACAACCGTGCGACCAACGACCAGCAGAACCCGACACACGTTCTTACCACCTCGAGTTCGAACCACAACAATCTCGACGACCACAACCACAACCACCTTTGTGCCACCACGAAGAGTGGCTAGCACCGCCGAATTACCCGCAACGGTTCGGGAAACCATCGCAAGGAAACCAAATATTGGTCTTCAGAGACCAGCACCGCCTCCGTCGCCACCTCTGAACGACGACACCAACGATCATCCTCAGGACAACGAAATTTCTGGCAGTGGAGTGGACAATGCTCAGGCCGGCATTGGAACTGGTGTTCCTGAACCTTCTGGACCTTTCAGGGTGGACAACGCCGACCAATCGAGTAACACTCATCAAGCAAAATTAAATCTAGGCGCGGTGATCGCCTTGGGTGTCTTCGGTGGTTTCGTATTCCTTGCTGCTGTAATCACCACCGTTGTAATACTCATACGCAGGTAAAAGCAAATCACTCACCTAAATCCGCGAATCGCGTGTAGAATGATGGCATTATCGAGTTGCTGTCGGTTCTTTTGATTTCTGTGATTTGGTTGCACCAAAAGTAACGCCTGTTTTGTGATGTCAGATTATATTTGTCTTTGTTTTTATTTGCTTGTTACGTTTTGCTCGTTTTCCAGCGCGTTGTTTATTCGTTTCTCATTCGTTGCTGAGAGCAATTTGAGGATTATTTTCTAGAGAGATTGTTTTATTATGAGTAAGGATAGAGGAGAAGACATGTAAGTGACGAGTTAATATGCTACTTAATCGTCTAGTAATTTCAGTTCTATATTTTGAAACGAAATAATTTGTGTTTGTTTAAATGGAAATTTGAATGTTTGATAGAAATTAACATTCAATTTCTAATCGTTGAATTTTAAAATTAGGAAAGAAATTTAAATATTTTGCATTGCATTAATTGGAAAATTAAATGGAAAAATCTGCATGCATAGAACTTGATTTGAAACTTTGAAATACTGAAAAAGTTTATTTCGTAGCAAAATACATTTCTTTTAATCTTTGGGATTTGTTTAATTTCGTTTAATTTTTAATATCTACAATTGAACTTCCTAAAATTAGAAATATCCTGATATTTTCACATATTATCAGTTATGGGAATTAAACAAATGTCATAAATGAAATTTAATCCCTAACGTACCACTTCAAATGAATAGAAATGTTAAGATATAAATGGTGGAAGCTAATAAAAATACTCTTACACATATATTACTTCCTTTTATCGTATTACTCTATTACAAGGAGGAAATTTCTTACTAATTCTCTAATGGCTCGATGGCAACCTACTTTTTTAAAAGACTGGTTTTCTCGTCATTACCATTCACTATCAATTACCGTAAATATTCAAATATACGTAGCGTAGATGCATGTTACATTGTTCCCATTTTGACTTTTAGATTCTTGTGTCATGAAACCTGTTATATTGGTAATCATCTCGTTCTCTTGCTATCTGCAATTTAAAAATTGTATTGCCTTCGACTTCTCTAACAGGCATTATTTCTTGGACAGACTATGCATAACTATAGCTTCTATATACATACAATACATTCGCTCTTTGACCCTACGTGTGTATATTGTATCGCTTACTCTACATTTGTTTAAACTTTCTTTATTCTTTCATCTGTCTTCTTGCCTATTCTCTTCTTATCTAAACTCGCGTTTCGTAGCTCCCTCGAAATATTGTAATTTGTAATTCATTCCGGGCATTATAATTAGCATGACAAAGAGTTGTTACGTAAACGGTCTTTGCAGAAGAAAACGTGTAAAAATCAATAACCTCCAAGCCCTCTTAATTTCCATTATATTTTTGTTTTTAATATCGTCGACTGGTAATATTATAAATGTTGTTTTTAAGCAGCATACTGTAAAACGTTGCATTTTAAGCGAAAAAATACAACATTACTAGACCAAGATATCTTCTGGAAAATTTCCATCCATATCTAAATTACACTTTTATGATGTGCATTGTGAATTATTTTCGATGCAACTTAAAAGTTTACAACGAACTACACCCCAGGTTTTGATCGATAAAAGAAATATTGCAGAATCTTTATTATTCGAAAGACTGAGAATTTTAGAATTCTTAGAAACGCAATATATATTTTTTTTTTAGTTTCATACGTTTTAGAGACATAGGAATCGCAATTTCTTTTTTAATGGAGTTTTAGTCCAAACGTTAGTTTTTGCAGACATTGAAATCATTGAAATTTCGAAATTATAATACAGAACATTATATTATCATTGAATTCATATAAAGTAATCTGATCTTGAAAAAAGGAGGAAGAACAGAAAATATATTATAAAAAAATGATGTACCTTATAGAATGATTTAACACGAATTCTTAACAGAAATTCAAATGAGAGGTTCTATTGCATCTTTGATCAAAATATGAATTATTCTGTTTGATTAAAAAATTCACATAAGACATACATATGATTTTTGTGTTAGAAAATGTAGAACAAGATTTTTCTTAATTTTTGTTATAACAGAATACAATTATAAAAAACGGCAAAATGATCGACCCTTTCGCAGGTGATTAACACTTTCTAAATTGAAAGTCCATGTTTGTTAATCAAACCATACATGTCCCTAATTATATTCATTACAATTCTTTAAAATTAATATTACTAACATGATCTATTCTTTTCAAAAGAAGCATTCTCAGCATCTTTCATTGCGTCAAAGATAATTTATTAATGAGATTGCGTGCAATATTGTTTTTTCCTCAAGAGAACAAATTATTGTAGATTATTTTCCATGACGAAAGGGTTAGAAATTTAAAAGTAGACAAACTTGTCTACATAGAAGATTCAAACTAATCCTTTCATTGCTGTTAATTACCTATTTTATACACGATATACATACAACAAAAATTGTAATTAACTATAACATCGAAAATTACAAAGTTTAAAGTATAAAACATTTACCTCAACATTTACATTGTATAATCTAAAAAGTTAACAAATCTATTTATACACTGCGTCTTATAATTATAAAATCATCCAAAAACTTTCAATTTTTATATGTTGTATTATAATTTTTATATTTCGTCGTAATATCATATTTCAATAAGCTTAATTCTTCGATTTTGAACTTTCGAATATAATTCTAATTTATTTGTATAAGAATTGAAGAGTTTAGAATGGTTTTATAGTTATGGGACGCAGTGTATAATGTCTAAAATACTCACTTTTCTTTAACGATATATTTGCCATGAAAATTCAATTGTTACATACATTAACAGATGAAGATTTACATTTAAAAATTATCTCAGCAACGAAAGGGTTAATCCAACCAATAAAACAATCATTCACGGGAAGAGAAAAATTATCAGCATTAACCCTTTGTGGTCGTATGTTTATTCTCAGCTACCAAAAAAAAAGAACCGTTCTAATTGTATAATCATATTAACTTTTCATATTGACAACATATTTCACTTCCAAGATACATCCTAATAGGATTCTGCGAATTAATGCAATTAAGTACTTTCTTATCTTGAATTATTTGATAAAGGATGCTCCAAAATAGCAAAAAGAAAACTGAATGATATAATATATATACAGGATGGTTGGTAAGTGGTGGTACAAGCGGAAAGGGGGTGATTCTACGCGAAAAAAGAAGTCGAAAATATAGAATAACAATTTTTCGTTCGAAGCTTTGTTTTCGAGAAAATCGACTTTGAATTGTCGGTGGGTGCGCGTGCACTTTATCGCGTCTCGTTATAACGGATCTCATTGTAGATCGTTGTCTCGATGGAAAAATTAAAAAAAAATTTTTATTCTGTATTTTCGACTTCTTTTTTCGCGTAGAATCACCCCCTTTCCGCTTGTACCACCACTTACCAACCATCCTGTATATATATTATATCATTCACTTTGAAATCGAAAATAGCGATAATTTCATTTTGGTTCGTCGGATATTTCGTGCTGTTATATCATTAGTAAACCGCGGATTTTTATGCAAATTCATATTTTGCATATTTTCTTGACATATATCAATATAATTAAAAAGAAGTAAAATCAAGACAGATATATGTGTTATAATGAGCACAGTATTCGGATTATTTTATATATTTTCGCACATTATTTCGCACATTCTATTTTACGCCCCTGAATTTGCACAAAATGAAAACGCGTAAAAATCCGCAATTTAATTACTAGTATCTAGATGAAAATTAATCCCAACTAGCACGGTGCCCATATCTCAGCTGAATACGATCGCAAAGTGTTAAAAAAGAAATAGTAACGTCCGCAAAAAAGAAATAATTTTAAGAAGTGGAAAAAATAAAAGAAAAAAAAAAGGAAAAGATTGATCGGAGGAAACTAGGTAACGATCAAGAAATAACAATTAACACTGAGCCCATTTGCGTTGCGGTGGCTAGCGGCAGTGGCAGCGTCAGAGGAAGGCGCCGCAGGGGGCTTGGTGGGGTTGGTGCGTTGAGGGGTGGCGGTAGTGGTGGCCTTGGAAGGGGTGATACCGGGATGCCCTCGCGTTGGTATACGCTACTGGCGCTGCCCTTCCCCGACCAGCACC